GTGGGAAAACTTAACGAGCAAAATGTCGTCAAAGAATGAGTTCCATTATTACACTATAAAACTTGATAGTGTAAAAAAAAACAACTTGTAAGGTAGTCTTTTGTCTAAATTAAATATTTTCATGTCTAAAAATTACTTTTGAAATAAGTAATTTGTAAGAATGTTAAATGTTTGAGTTCAGTTTGTTGAATAAAAGACTAAAATCTATTCTTCTTCCCTCTGAATCTCTAGTTTTCATCTCCATTCATTTCAAAGGGAACAGGCCTGACTGCCGGACATTTCCAAGACTCAACCATCCATCAAACATAATTAGTGTTCAGATTAATCAATCCTGGGAAAAACTGCCAGTCGCAGCTTCCTGATTGGTCCGAAGCATCTTGATCTTGAAGAATCGACCTGACAACTCGTTCGGCTCAGACGTCAACAGTAAATCCTCCGTCTCTCTCTCTCTCTTCAGTGTGTTTTCCTCAGCTGTTAATCACAATACATTTTCCACTGGAACTGCAAAGATTAGCGTGTGTGTGTCCAAATGCACGTCAGTGTGTGTGTGTGTGTGTGTGTGTGTGTGTGTGTCTACGCACATGCCCTTGGCAAATTGATCCCTTTGGACATAGATCATCCTGTCTCTTTGCTGGTGTACTGTATATGTGTGTGTGTGTGTGTGTGTGTGTGTGTATGTGTGTGTGTGTGTGTGTGTGAAACAGGGTAGTGATAAGATTGGTTGCCAAGGGAAACAGGGATGGCTGTTTCCAAAAATGGCTCTAGGCATCCCTCAAGTGTGGAAAACCTCTCCTGATGACTGACCTTCACAGCTGAATATATCACTGTGTGTGTGTGTGTGTGTGTGTGCGTGTGCGTGTGTGTGTGTCAGTGTGTGTGTAATCATACCCAACAACTAAAATCCGTTCTTTGATCAAAATCTACTTTTAATGACGAGGACACGTAATCATGAGCCTCATTTGTTTTTATTTTTGGCAATAATAAGATTAACGGATGATGGGGGACACTCATCACTGTTTGCACACACACACACACACACACACACACACACACACACACACACACACACACACACACACACACACAGGTGAATCCACCTGTATCCACTTAACCTCGCAGCACAATAGCAGAGGAGGTGGGATGGAGCTTCTCACTTCCCCAGGAACAACACGTGCACATACTCTCACAGGTATCATCTGCGACCTTGTGCAAACACCAACAAACAACAACACCACGGACCGGAGCTGATGCACCACTGCTGCGATTGTGTGTCTCCCTGAGATTGTGGCTGGTAATTAGCGAGAGCAATCCAACAAACACGAGTGACTCAGAGGGAGAGGCGGTGCATCCCTGCGGAGTCTGTAATGAGTTTAGGGTTTGGGTTGGGCTGAGTACCCCCCGCCCCCCCCACCACGACCATCCATCCCCTCCTCACGTGGACTTCAAGGTGCTCCCTGTGCAGCTACAGCGACAACGTCTCATCAGATATTCACACCGGCCAACCAGTGGCTTCTGCAAAAACGTGGATGCCAACACGGAATGGATCACATGTGCATTTGCATACACACGTATGGTAAACTCCCACACACACATATCTCCAGTAATGACAACTGTACACACACACACAGACACGTGCACATCCACATTTTCTAGTGCTGGTTTAGATGCTTTGCTCTGAGTCATCAACAAATTAAAAAGATTCTTCCGAATGTTTATCGTGAGAAACAGATCATTCCCTCTAATAACTCATGTCATTTACTTCAGGTGACATTTAAATATTAACAGGTCCCCAGGGAGTCCTTGGTCCCCACTTTACGACACGAGCGTGCACAGTAAACATGCTGAGTGGACATCTGGGGACCAGCGTGCAGGAACGAGCACGAATCTCTAAACATGTCAGCGTGGCCGAGACGCCGTGACTCGATCACATCATCCAACCAAGTAGCACCAACCTGCAGAGAAGACGCCAGCGGCATCACTCATCCTCAGCAGAGCCAGAGACAGACAGATGACAGCAGGAGGTCACACACACACAGACACACACAGGCTGAGAGTGGTAACTACACTGCACAGTCACAGCAAAGCTCTGCAACGTCTCCTCTGCAGTGGTCTCCCCCTTTCTCTCTCTCCCTCTCCTTCTCTCTCTCTCTCTGTCATGATCACAGAAACCCGTGTGATGACGCCCGGTCTCCCCCTGTCGGTGTGCATGACCGTGTCTGGGTTGATGCGCATTACGGAGATTTGCATGTGCAGGTGAACTCCCATCCGGCACGTCACATTACCTTTGGTCTTATGTTTCCCTGCTCCTTCTCCGCCTGTCCAGTCTTCAGCTCCTCTCCTCTCCTCTGCCTCTGTCTTCCCTCTCCTCAGTCGCTCGCTCTCGCTCTGCCCTCCTCTCTTTCTCTTTACCCCAGGACAGGGTACTGTATGAGTGCAGTCAGCGATGGTGTGACATCACTCCAGGATTTCCTCTGCTACACTAACTCGCCGTGTCTTTCCCCCTCGCCATCTTAGACGGAGCTGCAGTCATTCCCCCATCAATCATTAATGAAATGTGCTCTCTCCCCTGCGTCTGGACAAACACTTCTCAAACATATATTGTCCTTATGCTTCCTCTCTCTCTCCTCTTCCTCCTCCCTCCTACCCACCATCTTTTTGGAATGCTGACGCTCACAAGGGCGCATTGAGCTCAGCTGCAAACCCTGAGCACGGCAGCATGAGCGCGGACCGTTTATTAACCCTGCAACAAACACGCATGTTCACAACTGGACACACATGCTGCACGCACATGCAGCAGCCACACGTAATCTTACTTATGAATATGGCCGGCGTTAAGCCATCCCAGGCGCTCAGTGAAGCATTGTAAAGGGGTTTCTAAAAATAGCAGCGTGTTCTCCTCTGGGCACTGTTCTCCCGCCTGCCGCCTCCTCCTCCTCCCTGTTTCTTATTATAGCAACACTTGTGGAGAAGAGAGACATTTATAGAAAGGAGAGGACTCCATTCACATTCACTGTCTGTTTTCATCCATGCTACTCATCATATACTCATGTTCACCCCCCCCAGACACACGGCAACCAGCTCATTCTTTTCCAGTCACAGCAACGTCTCTAGTTTCTCTCATGTATTGAGAGTGTGTGACACATACATGAGGAGCGATGCTGGGAAACGAAACAAAACATCATCTAAATATAACCAGGACCGACATTTATAGGTGGACTCATTATCCTGTTAAGGCCAAATCCTATTTTCTTTTAAACCCTGATGGATCTCCAGCCGAATGCAACATGAACATTATTAAGTTTCATCAAATGTTTTCGTGATGTATCATAAAACTATTCCGATAAGAATCAACTGAACTGTTGAACTGACTTTAACCAGGCAGAGATTTTTCTTTACTTCACAGTAAAGTAGCAGCAGAAAGACAAAGCCAAACTTTCCACAGTTTTACATCAGTTGACTGATGCTCATGAGGGATCTATCAGGTTTGTTTCAATTTTCAAACTGTGCACCGAGCTGCTGATTTATTCAATCGACAGGAGAGTTTAATTAGAGGTCGTCTCCCCAGTGAAGGAGGTTATGATTTCATCCGTCCGTTGGTTTTGCAGCAGGATTGAACAAAAACAACTGAAAGGATTCAAACTTCAGGACATGAGCAAAGAAAGAAGAACGATATCTATGGTATCAATGAATGAATTTACTTTGTTAGTTACTGTAAGGCTCTATTGACATTTCTATAATCTCAAAGACTGCACCATGAAATCTGTGAGTGAAGTGCAGGGAGAAAAGATTATTTTAAATATCATGACACCCAGATGTGGAGATACTGGAATCTAAGTCACACACCCAGTATTAGTTTTCTACACTCGGTCAGCTGTGTGTGTGTGTGTGTGTGTGTGTGTGTGTGTGTGTGTGTGTGTGTGTGTGTGTGAGTAGAGTATAGGAGCATGTCCATATTCAAAGCCCCGATGTTGAGTGTTTGTGTGGCAACAGGGCAAATGTAAGCACACTGTATAGGAAAAGACTGTAGAGTACAATAAAGGTGATTTTATACATTATAAT